GAATACTCGCCAGTCAAGGCGAGGTCGCCCAACTCCAGCACCAAAGCATTCCACCCAACGCGCACCAGAGAGCGCGCCCAAAAATCTCTCATGCGCTCACCCGAGCGACTCTTCTGAAGCTGGGGGTTGTCACCAACCGCCCACAGAAGACCTTAGGGAATACTTAACTCGCAAACGCACTATCAACAGTCCTCTCGACCAAGGCCCTCCCGTCGAAGGCGTCGTCACCAACAAAGACGCGCTGCTGACGACCTAGAGCTCGCATCCGCCACAGTTAACATGACGGATAAGGGGAAGGTGGTACTCTCCGACTCGCCAGACTCAGACTCCGTCCTGAGACCTAACACTGGTTCGCACGACGCCGTCAAGACGGCATATTCCAGCGAACGCGTAGTCACAGGGGGGTAAGCATCGGGTTTGATTACTCTACCCTGGTACCCCCCTCCTGCGGTGAAGACGAGGTTCATTCGGCGGCGACCACATCTCAGACCTCGCGCTCAAGTTAAGACGCGCAGGCGAGAGTGCACATGACCGAACTCAACACCGAGCAGACAATGGCTCAAAAGCTGGAGGAATAGCAGGCAACCATCGACTCTCTAAGAGAAATGATGAAGCAACTGCTGAACAAGAAGAAGAAGAGGAGGACCCAACGTCCCTTATCCCGGCAAACTAGGGACAAGGAGTGGGTACCTCCTCACCGTCCAGCGGCTGAGACGGAGGATGATCGACAGTCCGATTACTCCTCCAAAACATCGATAGGAACGTCGCACACCGCGGATAGCACCCGTGACAAAAGATTCGACGAGTTCCAGGACCAGCTCAACGCGCTGAAGCTTCAGCAAAACATGAACAAGCTGGGGGTGGTACATCCCTACCCTATCGAATAGGACACGGTCCCATACCCGGCGAAGTTCAAACCAATCAGTTTGGTGCAGTTCGATGGCAAGGGGTCACCCTCGCAACATATCTATTACTTCATGGCGCAGACCGGATTCCTCACCGGGACTCGACTGTTCATAGGTACCCTCAAGGGGGTGGCCTTTGAATGGTTCCATAAACTGGAGCCCGGCTCTATCAAGGCATGGGCCGATGTTGAGAAGCTCTTCCTCGCCCTCTTCTTCGACGACGACACCGAAGTGTCAATGGCCACACTCCTTGCTGAGAAGCAGCGGAAGTCAGAGTCAGTCAACGACTTCGTGAAGAGATTTCGGAATCGATCGGTCCACTGTCAGGACCAAGTTTCCGAGTCGACACTGATTGAGATGTGCCGCAACAACCTGTCGATCCATATCTTGTTCAAGATCGGAGCAGTAGAGACCCGGACTTGGAAAGAGCTTGTTCGCTAAGGCGAGCAAGTCAAAAACATGATCAAGAGGCTGGAGGCCGAAGAGCC